CTCAAGATTTGTTTTTGAAGAGCTGACATTGAACTTAAATCTGAATGAGAATAAGCCTGCAGTTTCACGATCTGTGGGGACAGCAAAGCAAATACCATAAGCTGTCAACTGGGAATAAATTTGCTATGTTCTGGAAGTGGAAAAGATCGAGTACTAAAAGAATATGGAAAATTATTGTAGAATATGTTAATAAAGCAAGTATGTATATACAGACATACCCAAACAACTGTATGAGAAAATAAATAAATATATTATTTTTTAAGCAATTCCCCAACAGTGTGATATAAGTGGAGGTGTCAGGAAATCTGAGTTTCTTAGATTCTCAACAAAATAGCAAACTCCCTTAGGTTGGAAAGTCTGTCTCATTCTTGTATCCTATCTCTAAGCATAGTGAGCAAACAGGAAGACCCTTGATAGGTATCTGATGAGTTGATATGTGAAGGAAATGAATAGCTATCCAAGGCTAAGATTTCCCATATTAATATTGTCTACTTAGTTTTTCAGCCTAAATTTAGCATTGTGTCTACACTCTAATACAATCATATAAAGTCACAAAAAATGGTTGGAATATAAGGAAATTATCTTAAGTTTTTCAATAATTCCAGCAATGTAGAAGGAAACTTGTAAGGAAATGCACAAAATTATGCATTTATATATTGTTTGTGCTTTAGAGTAAAGATGATGACTTCTTGGTGTGCCTTTCGCCCCATAATTTGGAGGCTAATGCATGTACAACATCTTCAAAAACACTTCCAACCTTGGTAAATAAGTGGCATTCTAGTATTTGATCAGAATGATCTTCTTAAAAATACAAAGTAAGATAGTTCGGAGAGGAAATTCAGTACTTTGCATTGAACAATGGAGGTTATGATATATTCATTCCAATAAATTTCAAAATATAGGTCCACAGGTTTTAATGGCCATCCCTCAAAACATCTTCAGCATTTAAGAATCAAGTCAATGTAATAATCCTAAGTCCATCAGTCTGTTTCTATACACAAGCTATAGGCACACTGTACACCTAAGAGATCTCACAACCTGGGCAAACCCACTTGTGTAAGAACAGGATATCTAGTGCATTCCTTTCAAAAGGGAATTGCAAATATTGAAAAAATGTCTGTGCTAAAAAGATGGCAATTGTTGTGAAACTGCCTCTATTTCTGGAAAGGTCTGAGTACATTTAGAAATCATCTTTTTATTAAAATCAATCTTTGAACAGTGACAAAATTAAAATAGTACCTATTATTTGTCTGGGTACACCTGGTTTAATGTGTATTTTTCTAAAAAGTAAATTGTACACTGTCAGAATTCTAGGAAAACAAATTACTGAAGTTTTGAAAGTATGAAATGAACGTATGTATATTCATAATTCTCGGACAACAGGCCAGTTGTTCATGGCATTTACTCTTTATGTAATCAGAGCTCCTTCTGTAGCTGAAAAGAACTTTCTGTGCTGGACATTTGGATGAACATTTGATGGGGAAAGCATACCTTCTCCCTAAGTTTCCATAATACACATTTACAAACTGGACTTTGTAGATAAACTTCCAAGAAATTTGCTCTCATATTTGCCTGCTGTTCCTGGAGCTGGGACATGGTTGGGTTTGCAAGATGAAACAAATGAATGCTTATCAGTTCCCAAGTCAAAGTTTTAGTGCCATTCCATGCCTTTCCAACTACCCCCTTCCCCCACCTCTCCAGTTAAAGTTCAACTATTCAGATCTTGAGTGCAGCGAGACTATGATTGATACCATCGGCTCCTCAAACTGTGTTTTGCTATGGGGTCGGGCAGTTGGGCAAGAAGAAAACGGTGCCAACACTCTTATAAATCCATGCCCATTAAAATAACTCTGGGAGCTAACAATGCCAGGTAAAAGAAAAGGCAAAGTCTTGTGTTGTTTACCTTTACACAAGTGTAGGCGGTGGTGAATCAAAGAGAGCCCACTGGATCATCTACTACGGACCTCTCTTTGTAAGAAGACCTTGTCTAAGTATCTCTTGTAGAACCTAGTGTAATATAGCTCATTTGACCGTTAAAGACCTTGTTTACTGACTGCGCGGCTATTTGTCATAATGCCTCCAACAGGACTTATCTGTTTATTGTAGTGCATTGCTGGTGAGCTTCTGCTCTTTGTGGCTTCATGCTATCCAACTAAGTGCTGTAATATACACATTCCATCAGCTCTTAGTTGTGCCTCGACGCTCTCTAGGTGAGACTCGGTGCAGACAAGCCACAATTGCTAAATGCCCTCTGTCCTTCTCGGTGCACGTCCTCTGTGAGTGATGTATGGAAAATCACTGAGCAGCCATGAATCCTTATGAGTATGAAATATACATCAGAGCACTTTTCTCCTCCAGCATCTGCAGTACTAGGCAGACTTTATGAGGGCGTGGAAAACAAGTCTGGGTTGAGGCCCCTGTGAATTACAGTCACTGGCAGGAAGATTTCAGCATGCAGTGTGTGACCCAAACAGTGGACAACTACATAGCTCCCCCGAGTGATCATCTGAGTTGCTGACATAAAGGTGTGCTTGTGCATTTTGTCACAGAACGAACATGTCAGTTATAACAATAAGAATAGAAATCAAATATTCCAAAGAAAGTATGCTTTAAAACAAAAAGATTTATTTATTTATACAGAAATGGGGTACAGGCCAGAGGTGCAGGGGCAGCGAGAGGGTTCACCAGAAACAGAGTGGGAGCAGAACAGGCAGATCGACCAAGAACACTGCTGATGGGAGCAGCAAACGAGACAGGAGAGGTCTGGGGCACCTCCGGGGTGTTGTCACCTCCGGGGCTGGGATCGAACTTGCACTGAAGCGGCCATGGCTTGGCTTAGCTTCGCCAGTGAAGCGCTCCAACCCACTGCATCATCAGCGAGGGCCTGCTTTTTGTTTTTAACCTACAGATCAGTATCTGGTCAGGTTATTGTAATCTTTAGTGCACCATCTCACCATCTCTCTCCCCTCCAGCTTCAGGCTTCTGTGACTGCAGGGATCATACTTAGTGCATCTGGGATAGTGCACAGCACAGCCTTAGGGACCTGGTAGGTATTTAAAAATATGTGATATGAGTAAATATTCTCTGAAGTTAAGCCATCTCCAGAAGTAGCAGACAGCCTCCATGTTTACTCTTGAAGTTCAATAGGAGAACCAGGCAAGTCACAGTCTTTCCTGCAAGTCTAAAAAAGTCACTCTGACATTTGCATCTTGAGTCACCTTTTGCCTTTACCATTCTTAATAATAAACAATTATTTTTAGAGTCCCTGAGCACACACTGGCGTCTTTGTGGGCTTTGTATCACCTGGTGTCCTCTGGGTCCACGGCTTGGTTCTGCAGGGCCCTTTGGAGACCCTGAGCACCTCGTGCTGGTCAGTGCTGGATTTTTCATCTGCTTTCCCTGTGGGCTCTCCGATGCATGAGGCTGGCATCTGGCCTTCTTATCCCCAATGACTAGTGTCTATTGACCCGCTGTGAGCTTGTGCTGATATTTATAGAATGAATGAATGAGCGAGCAAACAAATAAAAAGGAATGAGTGAATGAAATGAAAATATCCAAGGTAAGGTCATCCTGAACCGCTAGTTTTCAGATGGTGGCTGGAAAAACGAGAACTTGGGATGCAGCACACAAGGTCTCTGTAGTCTGAGCATCATGAAGACCTGTTGTCTGGCTACTGTGATGGTGCCGTGTTAATGTGTTTATGGTCAAGTAAGGGGCATGAAAGTAAAACCAAAATGATCTTTATATAGATGTAGAACTAAAAATGTCATCTCTGGTGTATAAAGGCTGCAGGCACAGAGTTTGAAATGAACTAGATCAATCTAGATAGTCAAATAAAAATTTTGAATAACCTTTTGCAGCTCCTGGCTTTGCTTTCTGCAGGAATGTCCTTTGTTAAATGTTTATTGACTGTCTCTTCTCCTTCGGGTACTATGATAGGTACCAGCAAGACACCAGTAAGAAATGGTCCTAAATTCCATACTTAATGATCAACAGACAGACTTGTAAACAAATAACTATATTCTAATGAAAAAAACGAATGCATTCTCTAGTTTGCTTTTTTTTTTTTTTAAAGATTTATTTATTTATTCATACAGAACTGGGGTACAGGCCAGAGATGCGGAGGGTGAGAGGATTCACCAGAGACAGAGTGGGGAGCAGAACAGGCAGATCGACGAAGTACACTGCTGAGGGGAGCAGCGGGCGTGTCAGGAGAGGTCTGCCACACCATGTGCTCACCTCCTTGGCAGGCGGGAATCGAACTCATGCGGAAGCGGCTTTAGATTCTCAGTGCAGTGCTTTAATCCTCTGCGCCACCAGGGAGGGCCACTCTAGTTTGCTTTTTTAAAAAATTAATCCATGATTTAGAGAAATTGATGTAACTATTACAAGTGATAGTTTTAATAGGTTGAAAAGATAGTGTTTTACTAATGTATTTGTATTTGAAAACTAAATAAGTATGTATATGTGTGTATATATATATATATATATATACATATATATATATATTTAAAGATTTATTTATTCATGCTTACATTAGTAAGTACAAGCCAGAGGTGTGGTGGGTGAGAGTATTCACCAGAGACAGCGGGAAGCAGATGGACTGAAATACACTGCTGAGGGGAGCAGCAGGCGGGTCAGGAGAGGTCTGCCACACCATGTGGGTCACCTCCAAGGTGGGAATCCAACTCATGCGGAAGTGGCTTTTGCCTCTTAGTGCTGTGCTTTAACCCGCTGGGCCACCAGGGAGGGCCTGGCTGTGTATATTTTAAGGACAGTAATTTTAATTTAGTGTTTCAAGATTAAACATGAAACAGTTTTTTAGCTTATAATTATGTATGTTGTCTATGCTTAATGTATTTTTATATGAGGATGCTAATATTCTTCAATTTTCCTTATAGATTTGTTCAGTGTTTTTACTTCTAAGTTAAGGCATTTTTAAAAACAGATCCTTTTAATGGTGACTTGTGAACTTTTTCTTCTCTTTCTCTCTTCTTCAGATTTTCATCACTGTGAATTGCCTGAGTACAGATTTCTCTTCCCAGAAAGGGGTGAAAGGACTTCCTTTGATGATTCAGATTGACACGTACAGTTATAATAATCGTAGCAATAAACCCATTCACAGAGCTTATTGCCAGATCAAGGTCTTCTGTGACAAAGTAAGTAAAGATGACAGCTTGTCGTAAAGGTATCTTGTTGTTAGATATTACTTTCAATGGCTTTCCTCCCTTGTCAGATTCTCTTATCTTGCGTTGTCAAAATAATCGCCTCACCATTCTTAACTCCAATTAGATATCTAGGCCGTCATCAGTCAACTCAATTTTTAGTCAGTCATTTTTACCGCTCATTTAGTGACTGGTTGACATTGCTCAGTGCCTCAAGTCTGGTTTACTTAGATAACTGAAATAATAGATTAATAGTTTTTACTCGAGCTATAGATTCTGTCCTAGAACACATTAATATAACCTCTGTGGGCTAAAAGGATTCTCATTAGAGATTTTTGGGATAAGAATGCACACCTACAAAATAACTTCATCAGTCATCACTTATTCAGTTGGAGAGGTAGGTTTTTAATATTCATGAAGCCTACTTTTATGTCCATATTTAATGACTTCTGTTATCTTTTCTGAAAAATAAGAATTGCATTGCTGCAAATTAGTACTATGTAAACCTTGATAAATAAACCACATACTTTTTTTAATATATGGTTTTTCTGTTAATTAATTCTTGTTTGGAATAATATTGAAGACAGTAGTGTTGAAGATTATGAAAAAATAAAGATACCCCTCCACCAAGATACATCCTTGGTGCCTTAGCCAACTTTAAATTGGTTAAAGCCACATTCCCAAAATGTATTTAAGAAAATACCTATTAAATAAAAAAAAAAAGATTGCTATCACCTCTCAAGGTGGCCAGAGTGACCACAACATAGTCAGCAAGTCTTTAGGCATAATTTTCAAATTTAACACTCCGCGGTGAATATTTAGGTGGGGAAATTACTATCATATTATAAATTTGGCATTTATACCAAATAATGTAAATTGCGCTCTAATGGAAGAGCTGGGACTCTTGCACTTTAACAAAAAGGGAAGAAATAGTTTCTCGAAGTTTCTAGTCACAAGTAATCAAAGGAAGGAAAGGAATTCCTGCAAGGTTACGTTCAAGGAAGCTTTCTCCAGGTAACACTGTGACGGAGAAGATTAATTTTAGAAATGCGACCTGTGGTTCTCCTGGGAGTCAGGGTACTCTCGGAATTGTTTATCATGCTGATAGCTGTGCACTCTGGGAAGGATATTTCTTAGCTAAACATAACATCAAGACTACACTCTGTGAAGAGCTACTTCATGTTTTAGCTTAATATTTTGGATTTGGGATATCAAAGAATGCCTGTAATATAATAAGCAGGTGGCTTTCTTTCCTAAAAACTGGCATGAACGTATATGAATCTTGAAACAAATAGTTTCAACAGAAATAGAATGAAAACACCAGTAAGCCCAACAGAAATAGTACAAAATCAAACACCAATTTAGAATAAAATTGCCTGACCTCGGCTTCTATTTTGGGTGTTATATTTTTTTGTAAGTAGATAAGGTTTCAAATTTCTCTTTATACTAAAAGTTATATTTACAGAGCTACCAATACATCATAAGACGTATTGGTATAGATCGAACAAAAAATAAATAATGGGAACATTTGCTTATATTTTACCCATTTGAACAAGGCAACGTTCGTGCATTTACTATTTTATTTTCTGAAAATACTGTTACGTAGACACAGAAATCTACAAACCCATAATATATCTTAAAGAGACTTCCAGAGCAGATGTTTCTACATTTTATCTCCCTCTTAGTATGAATTTCCATGGTGTCATTGACAGTCAAAAACTTCAAAGTGAAGCATTATAAAATAATTACTCCTTTGTGGTATGAAGAATTTTTTTGACATAAAAATGAATATTTAAAATTTCTGGTTAAAAATGTTATAACTGTCCAGTCCTGTTTATGTAAAGCTTTTTGCACTTACCTGAGACAGAGTAAGTGCCAGCTAAGTAATAGCTATAATTACTCATTCAAGAATTAGCCCTAAAGCTTAGAACTAGCTCGAAAGTCATCTCTTTTATGATGCCTTCCTTTACCACAAATCTCCATTATGTTGTGGTCTGCTTTGCCCAGAATTGGGAATCTACTTTTATTAAAAAAAAAAAAACTAACAAACCACTATGATAAGTAAAACATATCTCATTGTTTTTATTCAGACCATTCAAAGACCCATTCATGAATTGTCTATTTCATGACTCTTGGCCATTTTTCTAATATAGCATTGATAGGTTAATTTAAAAAAAAATTGAGTTATCATTTATATAGTAAGGTTTAATGTTTTGTGTGCTATTTTGTTGCAAGTAATTTTGTTTTTTAATAGATTTGTTTTTGTATAACATAATATTTAATTTTTACATTGTCAAATTATCTGTGCGATGATCTGGGAACATTTTGTAAAGGGTTTGAGGTGGCTATTAGATCATGCTTCACTATTCCTTTGATATGCTGGCATAAAAGGCAGAAGCTGTAAATGCACATCTGAAAGTTAAGGAAAGGGTTTAGGCTCAGGGTATCTATCTGGATGTCATCTTCTCAGAGCATTGTGAATTCTTCTGTAGCGAGACTGAAAAGAAAATGTTTGTGTTTGGGGACTGAGAAAACGAGTTGGCAAAGCTAACATGGAGGAATTATCAAGGAGAGAACAAGATAATCAGAGAATCATCGAAGGTCAAGGAAGGGAAGAGACAGTGTGACATCAGCTGGCTAAGTAGGGTGGGATTTGTGAAAGAAGCCCATGAAAAGAGAGCAGAGGAGCAAAAAGGAAATACATTTATCATTTTTTTTTCCTATTTGATTGCATGAGACCATTTCTAAAAGTGTTCAACGTATTACAATAATACAAAACATCAGACTTGTATGTACAAAGTCATCCTTTGTATAGGAGTGACACCGGAATCCCAAAGGTGCACATTCTTTTTGCCTGCCCCCATTTCCATCACTGTAATGACTTTTAAAAGTTATATCACAATGAGCAAAGGAAAAGCTTTATAGGGGACTCATACTCAACTTTAATGCTCTCTTGATGGGTAGGAATGTTTCTTCTACTGATACTTTATTATGATCGCTACAGTCGATGGCTTCGCAAGGACAGGGAGATGGGTCTGTTATTTCTCTGTGGATTCAAACTTGAAGTTCTTTAAATAGGCAAGGTACAAATAACATGGGAAATCTAAGAGAAGTGGGGTAACTCAGAGGTCAGAAATGTAGTATAGACTAAAGAGAGGTCTCCATATTCAGAAACTGAATATTTTATTTTGTTTATGAAACCAAATATTAAACGGACCCCTGGGCAGGCCAGAAGTGAAGCTGGCTGCTCCCCTCCTCCCAGCTTGGTTTCTTATCCCCCTGACTTATGTGCAGACAGTGTTTTTATATGTGCACTGATAACATGCAAGCATTGTGTTGGTTTTTCCCTGATAGGGAGCAGAAAGAAAGATCCGAGATGAAGAGAGGAAGCAGAACAGGAAGAAAGGGAAAGGTCAAGCTTCCCAAACCCAGTGCAACAACTGTGAGTATTGCTGGAAAGTGGTGGGATCTGGCGGGCCAGGTTCACTGGAGAGACAGGTGGAGAAAGTGGGTAGCAGGGGAAGCTGTGTCAATGCCAGAGATGGCTTGCTTTTCCTTAGCGGTGGAGAGTGGGTGAAATGTCCCTGCAAACAGCAAATAGAATCATGTGATCATGAGTGTTTGAGCCAGCTGGGTCTTTGAGATATGGATATCAGCATCCTTCTTTTCCAGAGAAGGACTTGGGGGCCCTAGAGAGGGACACGAGGGTTGAGGTGGTTGGTTTGCCATCTCCATGTGCTACTAAGAGTTTATGCTCTTCCTGTTGTGTGTGTGTGTGTGTGTGTCTATGCTTTATGGTATGTTTATATGTGTTTATATAGTATGTTTATATGTATGCTTATAGTATGTTTATATGTTGAAGCTTTTAAAAAGCTTCAAAGGAAGGCCTCCCTGGTGGTGCAGAGGATAAGTCTCAAAACTATGAAGCTCCCTGCAGCCACTGAAGCAGGAGTTCAATCCCTGGCCAGGGAGCTGACCTACATGGTGCAGCAGATTTCTCCTGTCTCACCCACTGCTCCTGTTCTGCTCCCCACGCTGTCTCTAGTGAATCCTCTCACCCCACCCCAATCCCACACCTCTGTCCTGCACCCAAGCTCTTGTGTGCATAAATAAATAAATCTTAAAAAAAATAGAAAGCCTCAAAGAAGAAAATCGGAAACGTCAGCAAAGAGTGTTAGCATTGTGTTTTCTTTGTCATGCATAATCCCAAGCTTTCGGTCTTGTGCTTTTGTCCAGCCTCTGATGGGAAGTTGGCAGCAATACCTTTACAGAAGAAGAGTGACATCACCTTCTTCAAAACGATGCCTGACCTACACTCACAGCCAGTCCTCTTCATACCCGATGTTCACTTTGCAAACCTGCAAAGGACAGGACAGGTATGACCTACCTGCTAACATCCACCTGAGGGATTGGTGGAGACTTAAGATAGAATTACCTTAGGCAGTGTTGATTTTAAAATAAAGCCCACGTTCCAGGCATTCCCTATAGAGAATGGATTTTTATAGAAAGGAATGTCTCAGGAGAGGAAATTGACTTACTAAGAGGAAAAAGAGAGTGAGCTGATACTAGTGAAGTGTTGACAAAGCAATGAAAGAGGAAGAAAGTAAGAAGGCTGATAACCTGTATAAAGTTTTTTGTTTTGTCATGAGGTATTAACCTGGTGCGATAGAGCTCCATCTAATGGTGTGAAATTGAACTGTGCCTATGACTTTATTAAGTTGCAAGATGAACAACACTTTGATAAAATAAAAACCTATCAATTATTTTTCCCTTACTAAATCAACGTTTCTCATTGAATAGGTAAGTTCTCTTACACCAACAGACAAGTGAGGTTGTAGACAAGTTATATATATATATATATATATATATATATATATATATATATATATATATAAATCTGTCTCAGGTATATCTGTGAGTGAGTGAATTATATTAAAATAATATAAATGTCCAAAAATTAACTCCTCTGGTAGCTCAAGAAAATGGAGTACTACATATCCTCTAAAATTATAATTATAGAAACTATGTACCAACATGACAACTAGTTATGATTGTGTTTAGTAGTAAAAGAAAGTAGAATATCATTTGTTCTATATGGTGATTCTAAATATAGACTTATATTTGTTCCCAAAGTTGATGGGAACAAGAGAAATGGTAATATTCAATAAGTAGGGTTATGACTGATGGATGATTTTTCTTTTTGTAATATCTTCTCTGTTCTTTCTTTCATGTGATAAAATTATATGAAAGAAAGAAAAAATAAGTATGTCTATACTATTGGCCATTATTGTCTTTTAACAAACCAGCTGGGTTTTAGTAGATCTTATTGTGATCGATTTTCTTATAAGCCCCAAGTCCTCTGAGGGAAGGTCTACTGAGAGATATTGACACACTAAAGTTTTTCTTCTATTGTAAATGTCCAGATATTTGTTGGAAGTGATCTTAACCTAGTAGAAGATAGCATTATGGCTTAACTTTCTCTTTCTTGGGGATAGTTTTTCCCCTTGTGTTGTGTTTTGTTGTTGTTTTTATGCATAGGACAGACCAGTTTCACCACCACAGTTTTTCGGTTGCTGTTCATGAGATGGGATAATAAAATCACCATCATTTTTTCGTAGAGCTAATTCCACCAAAATCCAATTTAGCATTCCCATCTTGTTTTCCTTGATTGCTGGGAACGAAAGGATGTTATACATTATATGTGTTATATATTCATTGAGAGATGAGTGCCAACACCCGCTTTATTTTTAATTCCCAAGAACATGGTGTTATAGTTACAGTCTTTGCCCCATGGGATTTTAGGGAGCTGGACTTCTATACTTTGAAAAGAGGACATAATTGAGTTAAATTGTTCTTATTGTTTACTGGCTTGATTCTGGCTTCAGCTCTGTCAGAGCCGACGGCCTGACCTGTTCTCTTGGCAAGATTTCTCTGAAATATACAAACCTGTAAGTAATCTTAAGGGGAAAAGTGGCCCAAGCTGGGTGCTCGTTACTGTTGCTGCTCTGGCTTCACTCACCCTCCCGGTGTCCTGACCCGGCTCCTACCTGGGACTGAGGTCGAAGGAAAAGTGGCTGGTTTCGCAGCTGTAAAGCAGCCCCGTCAGTGTTCTCTGGCCACCGACAAAGCTAAGTCCTGCTCTTTAGGGGTTGGCCTTGTGAGCCCTCGGGTTGCCCCTATAGCCTTGGCGTCAGAGCACTATGGGGGCAACTACAGCACTACACAGCACACTCACCTGTGCCCTGCAGCTACAAGCCAATGTTCCATGATTGGCTAGTCTCTTGACCAAGGGGAAGGAGTGCCTACAGGGGCTGCCTTTTCTTCGGAGAGCTAGAAGCTGGGCAATGGAACCAGAGACAGGTAGTGCCATGACATTCGAAGCGGGCAGGGGACAGGAGTTGGACAACTTTGACGGGCAAAACAAGAGCCAGCAGCGGCCCAACAAACGCTAGGCTAGTTTTACTGTTAGTGGGGCGGGGGAGGGGGAAGGAAGGCACGTGATGGTGAGCAGGTTGTCCGCAGACAGCCTGGCCAGACTGAGCCACATGGAGGCTCTGCACAGCTGCAGGGCTGGCTCCTCTGGTTTTCATGGTCAGTGGGCACTCGCGCCACACGAGCACCTCTGTGGTATGGAATGGTTAGTGGCTCGGGGACACAGGCTGGGTTGGGGGGAGGGAGGACTTTCACTCTTAACACACCTGTGTTTCCTTCCCCATAATCTCACTGGTTCCCATATGGACTGGAATATTCATGAGGCAGTGTAAAAAACACAGATGAGGGAATGAGCCTGACAAGCAGGCACTACGGAGGTCTTCTGTCTCCCTCTCCTCACCTTACAGCTTGAGAGTCACCAGGGCCTTGGTCTGGAAGGCTTTAAAAACACATGAGATGAAGCCTTCTCCAGGGCACCTGAAATCTGGGGGTGCTGTTTCTCCTTTAGGCCTCCACAACAGTCTCCCCAGTCTTGCCAGTTAAAATCCCTGAAGGGGGTCCTAGGTGTTTGCATCTAGGAGAAGGTCTCCTAGATGGTTTTGGTTTTTATACATGCCCAAGTTTGAGAAATGCTCTCTAAAAATTACATCCATGCAGGAAACCCTACAGTCCATAGGAAGGGAGCGTGAGCCATGAGGTGAGAGCCAGAGACGTGACAGAGCCAGGCCAGTGCTGGGGCCGGTGCTGTGCAGGCCAATCAGGGGACAGGGCACTCTGAGGAAGCTGCTTCCCTCTTTGGCTCGTCCACCAGCGTGGCGTAGCACTACCCACTACCCTGGCATGTTGTCAGGCGGGCAGATGCATTGTCACAGTTAAAGAGACCAACAGTCCCCAAAGCAACTTCAGGAACTCTTCCTCCGCATTGCAGCTGTGTGGCCACAGCTGGGTTCAGGCTCCCTGCCTTAGATGGGTCATTGTGTGTGGCTAAATGGACACCCCCATTTCTAGAACATCACAGTGACAGATGCGCTAATATGTGCTGGGGTGTGGAGGCGGAAACGCCTTAGCCTCATTGTTTAAGAAGAAACCAAGAGAACAATGCAACAATAGACAGAGAAGAACTTAAGGGGAAAACGTTCCCCATGGAAATCTGAGCTAATAAGTAGAATGACTCATTTCCTAAGAGTTCCAGGTAACCAGAGTTGTTATATAACTATGTCTGGGCCTGGTGACACCCCAGAAGGGCCAGGAGTCTGAGAAAGAGTGTGTGAGGTGCTGGTAGGCACAGCTGCTTCTCCCACCCCGTGATGACATTTACTAGAACCAAAGGTAACGTCTGAAGTTAATATGCAAGTGTCTGATACTAACTTGGATCTCGTGTTTCACCCAGATGAAAATAACCCTGAAGCACTCAGAAAGCTCATGAAAGTCCCACTATTATTTAATACTTAATAATTAAGCCAAGAGGATTACCTACCTAGCAGATCCTCTGTGGATTTTTCTTATAATTTCACAAGCTTATAATTTCTTTAAATCTGACTCTGTTAGCCATCATCCTGACCACCTAAAGAAGTCTGTTCTCAGAGATCTTTCTCTGCCCAGGAAGACCTTATAGAGCTAACGATCTTTCTTAGTCTGAAGACAACTCAAGCCGACTTAAATTGTGGGTGCCGGAGTAACCACGGCCGTTGGGCATGGAATCCGGGGTTATTGCCACGCTGCTGGCGGGTCCGTCTGCCCTCCCTTTCCTTACCAAAGCAGTGTCTAGAGAATGGGATTAGTTAGCCGCAACTCCTGCTCCAGAGCCTTTCAAAACAATGAGAGTCTCTAAATATATCCTGCTGCAATGTCTGTTAAAAGCAAGCTTTGGTTGAGGGCTATGGTAATGTGACCAGAGTGATTTTAGCTAGGAATAATCAGATTTCCAGTTTCATTTCATTAAAATGAAAGAATTAACTGAGGAGAACAGGAAGTTAAATTTGTCATCCCTTACACACAGAGAGAGAGCATGTTAAACAAATTTATCTTTTGTCTTTATTAAGAGACCGTGTAGTGCATGTTAATGTCTTAGGAGAGTCTGTGCATCATGGACTATATTTCCATTTTTTGTCTCTGATCTACAGCAAGCCTGTTGTTTTGTTCCACAGGTTTATTACAACACGGATGATGAACGAGAAGGGTAAGACACTCAGTTCTTTCACTTGAAATCCTAAGTCTGTTCCTGCCAGAAAAAAATGGCTCCTTGGGAATTGGTGCTGGTGGACAGGGCTGGGAGAGACTTGGTTCTGGACACCATCTAGGGTTAGGCTGAGAGAATACCATCTTCGTGCTAAGTCTCTCTCCCACCTCCTCTCCTCTTCCTATGATCTGCCTTTGCGTACTGAGCTGTTTTTGTAATTGACACGTTTCTTCAATTCCTCCTTTGCACGGCTCATGCTGTTACTGAAATCTTTGGCCCCAGCACAAGATCGAGCTGAAGTGGAGGCAAGAGCCCAGGATACATCGTGTCCTACTGCCAGGATTGTGTGGGCCTCCCTCACGTGCCTCTGGAGGTCCGCACTCTGGGAAGTGAGCCCAGGGGGCTCGTGGGGAGGCTGGTGTGAGTAGGAGCCCCGAGGACTGAGCCCCATAACACTGTAAGACAGTTCACTTAAGGTCGCTGAAGGTCCCCACTGCCTTCCACTTCAAGTACACAAGAGAGCGCTGTGTTTCTACACTCCCTCAGCTTATAGACTCCTGGAATCTTAGAACTGAAATGAGGTCATGTAGCTCGACATGCCTCCTAGGCAACGCAGCATCTACACAATGTCCTGACGAGTAGTCATTCACTTTCTACTTGACGATTCGCAGTGAGGGGCATCCTCTGACTATTCCCACTGGGTGTGAGACATTTTATTGCACTGCTGGACAGTTATAGCCCTCAGAGTTAACTAATATTCAACTGATATTTACATTCTTTTGACGTCTCCCCTTTGGCTCTAACTCTGCTGTGTCCTATTTTCTCTTGTTCATTGAAACATCCATTCTTCTTTGCAAAGTTTTTGTTCTTGGTAAAACATTGGTTTACCTTCCAACAGCTTAATTCCCCACTAGGGAATACCACCAAATGTGTTAGTTTTCTCCTTAAAATTGATTCTCAGAAATAGACATGTATTCTGAACCACATGAGTTGGTGATTATAGTTTCATCTTATTACCAGGATGCTGTTTTTTTCCTTAAAGCAATCTTAATTCCTTAAAGCAATAATATAATCTATGTTATGTTACGTGCACAGAACTTAAGATCTTGGTTTGTATTACATTTCTTTAACTAAAGTCTTAGGTCATTTTTTCCCAAACTGTCGTTAAGCCAGGACTTCTCCAATTCCTCTGTGTATATAACCTTAGGTGTGAGACATCTCAAGGGGAAGTAAGTGAAGCAGATTTTTACTGTGCTCATTTTCAGAGGTTGGCAAACCACAACTTGCAGACCAATCCAGGGCCACTGCTTGCTTTGGTCCTGTCTACAAACATTTTTTACGTGGTGGAAAAAATCTGAAAAGGAATACTAGTGCATGGTACTTGAAAATGATATGATATTCAAGTGTCCATAATTAAGTTTTATTGGAACACAATATATGTCTTGCTCCTGGCTGCTCTGGTGCTGCAGCAGGGAGCTGAGTGACTGCAGGAGACACTGCATAGCTTGGGATGTCTCAACAGGTACCCTTGGCCCTTTCCAGAAAAATCGTGCTGCCCTCTGTCTTGAAGAATAAAGAACTTCTAGTAATTCTTCAGCTGATCAGGAGCAGAACGTCAGCCAGAATCTCTGACCTCTAAATCCTGGGTTCTAAATTATCCCAGCACCTCGTTAGAGTGTTCTTTTGATCATGACACGTAGGTGGTCTATTTCCAGGGACTGGAATGAACAGATATGATTAGCACTGTTAATTCTGAACTGTGTCATGTATTTTACAAGGGAGAATGTGGCCTCCTGGCGAATGTTGGCGTTCAACTCAGAGCCCAAGTTCTCTCCCCGGGGGGCTGCTGACACGGTGAGGCCTTTGTCTGTGGAGCCCCTCAGCCTCTGGGTCTGTTCGTGGATTGTAAAATCAGAACTTTGTAGACGCAGGACTTTGTAGACGGTGACCTTCGTGGGAAAACGCTGCATTGGGTGTGAGAAATGCCCGAGACCCACATGCTCCTTCACTGGTGACTGGGACTCGGCCTGAACCAGCCTCTCTTGCCAGTGGGCTGCATTTGGGTGGCCGGCTGACCCATGTCTCTCAGCCTGGCCTCTCTTCAAGAATTACCCTTTGCTTTGCACTCTGAGGCCTGGGTCTGGTCCCTAGCTCTTTTACCTCTTGTAATAAGAGTTCCCTTAAACCATCAGAGTGGCCCTGGAGCCTCAGAGTGACTTAGTGAGTGCTTGGTTATTGTGTGTAAAATTAATTATTAGCATCTCTGATTCCCTTGACTAGGCACCATCTGAGTGCTTTAGATGTATTTTGTTGAGTTCTCCCAAGTCTCTCACTGAGAAGATGCTTAACTCCCTCCATTTTATAATGAGGAAACTGAAGTTCCGAGAGGTTCAAAGATGTGTTCTAAGCCGCAAGGCTGCTAAGTGGTATGAGCAGGATTTGAGTCTGTGTCCGTCTGCTCTCTCCCCTCCCCTACCCCCACTCCCCAGCCCCCTGGCTTCCAGCCTTCCTATATGCTGCTGCACCCTCTGACTCCTGACCTCAGGCTGCCAAGGAGACATTAGAGGTAGCCCCTTGTGTTAGCTTCCTGACCTTCACGAAGGCACACCCTGGGCTTGCCTCCTCCATTGGGGGTTCCTGATCATGTTACAGGGCAGGGAGTGAGGGGCACCCCTGAACCCCCAAACCTTCCTGCTCTAAATATGTTCTGCCATCTGCCACATCAAGGCAAAATATATATGACCTTTAATGGAAAGGAACTTTAATACAATGAGTGTGCAATACAGAAAAGACAAAGAATGTAGTTTCTAAATTGGATGCCCAAAGTTACCCATCCCATGTGGGTAAAAGTCCACCCAAAAGGGATTGGCCCAAAGCAAGGCCTGAAAGCCCGCCACAAGCCTAAATCACCTTCCGGCAGGGACCCATGCAGTAGGGTCAGAAATGGTCAGACAAATCTGGGAGGAAAAGAGCACAATCAAAATCAAGACAAATGCTGCCATAGTCAACCTCCCCACAGGTCTCTCACCCACATCTGTTTCCATCAGTCCAGGACCAAGAAGAAGCAAGCGCAGTCTCTTCACGCTTCTCTCTGCTCCGTGTTTCTCTCTCAGGTCTCCTTCTGGCTCTCCATCCTGCTTCCTTCCTCCTCAGTCCCCTCTCCAGATTCTTCTCTCCTCAGCTCCAACCTTCTTTTGGGTGGGTCAGGGAACCCAAACCTCCCTTTTCCTGGGGACCCCCTGTTACAGTCAGACAAGCCCATGAGTGGGAGGGTGGTGTGGGGTGCAGCATGCGATTCCAGGCTGTGTGTATATTCACCTGCCTGCAGGCCTCACTTCTCTGGAAGCTATGTGGCTCCCATCAGGGCGCTCGCTCCCCAGCCCTTCACCCTCCCCCTGCCAGGCAGATCAGGCAGTAGCAAAGCCTTTGAGCACTTGAGAGCTTCCCTCATGCAGCCACCAGCTGGAGGAGACAGCCCAGCTTAGGCCAACAAGAGCCCTCTCCTAGCAGCTTCAGGGCCAATCAAAGACCCTTCACAAGTGGGAGCTTTCAGCCCACACTGCCAGCACAGCCGAATGCAACTGAAGAGCGGCCCTAGAGGATGTGAAGAGGAGGTGGCGTGGGGAGCAGTCACCAGCCACATAGCTAAGCTGAATATCAACAAAAACAGGCCCGTTTCTGCCTCCCTGTCTAATGATAAAGTGAATGTTTGGGGTGACTTCTGGTGCTCAACTTGGGCTGCTGGTGCTCGACTGACCCATGCGGTTTTGTTTTGTAGTCGGGACACAAAGGTTAATGCCCTGGACACTGGTTCTCAGGGGAAGTTCTCATACTGTACTTGGAATTACCTGGGGAGTTAAAAATACTCAGTACAGGGGGGAGGGAAGTGTATGGGACTATGGTGATGGCAGACGGGTGACTTGGTGATGGGAAACCCACGGGGATTACAATTGAGATGAAAAAAAAAGTACAAAATGATGTAAAAATAAACTATTACATATATATAAAAAACAACTCAGTACAGGTATTGCCCTGGGGATTTTGATTTAATTGTAGCTGATGTAGGTGCAGATCAAGGAAAGGGATTCTAGAAGTCCCCAGTTGATTTAATGGGCAGCCATGACTGAGAAGCACTGCCCCGGAGCCGGGTAATCATGACCTGAATCTGGCCTTGACCTTCTAAGCTCTGTCACTTCACATAGTGACCTTTTGGGGCCTCCCTTTCCCTATTTTAAAACTAGCAAACTTATAACTATCTGTTCGTTATAAGGATCAATAAACAAAGTGCTGTTTCAAAAAGAAGTATAACTGTTGCTTTTCAGGTCTGTCTAAATGACACTGAATTGAGACATGGAAGAGAGGGAGATGAAGAATGGAAAGTACAAGCCAAACAGAATTTTCTGTAAAGAATGGGCCCTTAGCCAGCCTTCCATAAAAGGCTCTTATGGGGAAGAGGGAAGGATTAAGCCCCCTGGAATAATATGTAAAGTGATGTGTGATTGTGATTGTGAACCGTACAGAGTGAGAAATTTGAACTCCATTATTTCTGAGGATCAGGGCTCCATCTATCTGACTTCTAGTTTCTGGAAACCTGCTCTGCCTCTGTCTTCTGTACACGTTGATTCCCACCAGTGCACTCCTCTTCCAGCCTGCCGAGAGGTCTCTGCAGGCCTAGCAGCTCTGAGGCCTCTGTGGTGCATTTGGGGCACAGGAATCGCCAGCAACTGTGGCTGTCCCTGGAGCTGGAGAGCATTAGTTTTCCTCTCAGATCTTGTCATCATTATGGATGCTGCTTGGGATCCTCAGACCTCCGCTTTCACCCATAATTTTTCTTCTCCTCTTGCTTCTCCTCAGATGCACTCTACTATCTCCCTTGGGGTTACCCTGCATACCTTCCTCAAAGCCTGAAGGTTTAGGAAAACATGTTAGGAGAAGGCCAGCAGTGAATAAGACAAGTGTGTGTGTCGCTTACTCCTTGTTTTTATTTTGTGATCACTTTT